AGCTATATGAAATTAAAGAAGATGGCTGACATAGCCTTTGTAATGCATTTTATTTAGTTTCTAAGTGTTTTAATGTTACACGATGAAGGTCCACATTCCAGGCAAGGCGCTGTTCAACTTTGACCACCTCATATCATCAATCAGCTGTCAATAGGAACACAGTCCCGCCATTTACCAATTTTTCACATAAAGAGAAAAATCCTGAATCAACAGCAAAGACTTAGTTTTTGAGAAAGAGAAGAAAACTACTTTGAGAGTGGAATCTATTTCTGAGAGAAAATGTTTTCAACGTTGATAGCAAAATACTGTATTTGCATTGCATACCTGTCAAAATATACCTTTTAGAGAGCTTTTTTCATTTGAAATGAAAGTCTTCTCCTGTGCAAACAGGATCAGCTTGCAGGTATGCGCTGTAATTATCAAGGCAGTATGTAATCAGCAGTCTGAATCAGTTCTTTTAGGAAAATCATAGCGACACAAAGGGTCATAATACAGCCAGCATGTGGGAATTTTAGAGGAGCTCCTTGGTCAGCTCCCAGCACTTTAAGCCTGCTTCGATACAAGATATTTATGAATGTACAATACATCTGCAAAAATATCCAAAATTCATGCAACAAAACCTTCTGCCTCTTCAAGCAAAAATGTTCAATTTGATTTTGAAGGTGAGTATTGCATATAATTCCCTCTAGTCTATTGGGCTTATTGTTGGACACTGCTGGTTGATCTTAAGTTAGCTTTAATCAAGTGCTTCTAAATGAATCCATATGTTAAGGTACACAGCAAATCAACTGCCCGGACTGTTGACAGTTTGATTTCCAATAATGCCTATTTTTTTTGACCTGGTCAGTAAATGTACCATAGAGGTCTGAGGTTAGGGCTGAGTTACACATCCTTAATCTGAACACCACAAATGAGTAAGGACACTTAAGCCATGGCAGAAGAGGATCAGTGGTCATCATAAGCGTTATCTGCTCAGTGCTAGCAGTAGGGAAGGAGCTAGGAAAAGGAAGCAGTATCCTTCCTATCACCAATTCAGTCAAACCTGGGAGCTCCTAAAATTCCTAGCCACCACTGGGGGCTAATCAGTTACCCAAAATAATTTGCCTGACATGATGTATAGGCACAACCCACTTCATGTATTTTAACAAAAGATACATTATTTCTGCTACTCTATGTGACAAATACAAAGGTAGACACTTTCATGTGCTTTTGGGGCTTTTTAAGGAAGATTTTAAGCCATTCACTGCTCTATGGAACATTTATTTTTTGTAGTTATTTTCTGGAAAGTGGTGGTCAGAATTTGACAGGCATCATTTAAATGCATGTCTCTCGTCTTTAAACATCCATAAGACTGACAGCCTTCAGCAAAGAAGTCCAAAGTTTCTTTCCTGAATAGAGTTCTTACTTATGGCTCCAGAGAAGGTGAAGGTATAGAAGCTAGGGGAAAGAGGTAGGAGCTGCAATTTGATTTATTTGGATTGGGCCAGAGACTTAACTCAAGTTAAATATATCAGACAAAATGTTTACAAGTCACATGAACCTTTACAGCAGGTAGATCTCCCTCTGCAGCAGAAAAAGGATTTGGTTCACAGCACTTTGTGCACAGGCCAAACCCACAGAACATTGAGAAGGTCCGACAATATCTAAAGAGAAGAACTGCAGTTTTATAATAACTGATTTGGGGCAGCTTCTAAACAACTGCATAGTTTGAGACATTAAGTCAATCATTGGTACTAAAGAACTAGTTCATCTGATTTGTTACCACTCAACCAAGATCTGGAAAATCTTCCAAACTGCTCTTCTCAGATTTAGGAAAACTGGCAATGATGTTGTTGGTTTGACTCAGTACTGCACCAAATTGTTGTTTGCCATGTACCAAAATTAATAGTTTTTCAAGATGAAGCAAAGTTAAATTTGTCACTGTTACCATGAATTATGAAACTACGAAAATTAGGTATAAGGAAGTTATCATCCAGAATTGTAGAAGTGTTCCTTAATAGGGTAGTGCATTAAAGCATCTGCCATTAACATTTTTCCTGCATTACTTTACTTTTATGCTTTAAGTAGATTTAAAAATGGTACTTAAAACACATTTACTTGAGTAAAAAGCTTAAGTTGATACTCTAACTTCCAATAAAGTGTTTTTAAACAGTAGGATTTATACGTCTACTTCAGTAATAAACAGTTTTGACACCTCTGGTGATAATGGACTCTAGACAAGACAACATTCAAGGTCATGAACAAAAAGCCTGGCGCCTAAATGCTGTATTGGCTTGTAAATTGTACAAAGGAAAATTTAAATAAAATAGCAATTTTGGACCAAGGATATTTTTATTTATCAAAGTTTTGCAGCTGCGTCATTTACTAAAATAATTGTAGTTGTGGGTGTTTCCAAAAAGAGCTTTTAGTGACTTTTTAAATCTCCTGATCGACATCAGAGTGTCTGTCTTTGTTCAGCAGGGTGCTAATGCCTTTGGTCCTTCTCTGCTACATCAGCCTAACACAAAACAAAATGTCAGAAACACTTTTGTTTTTGACAAAGAAAACGTCTCTTTGGAAGATATTTGTCTTTTAGGAGTTTCAACGTGCCATATCCGGCTCACTATTTTCACTGTCCACCATCTTTGTTCAGGTAAGCTGCGGTAAGGGAAGAGGGGGGACTAAGCGTCTGTGAGTATGTATGACACATGAAAATAGCTTATTTAATATTAGTTTCTAATACATTTCCTGAAAGAAAACATCTATTTAATATCAATTTTAAGGAAGTGTAATCCTACTAACCATATAAAACACATGTCCCTGAGTACTGTAGCTCTGTGATGATAAAAGTTGTTAGGAAGATATCAAATTTAACTTAAAACAGATATTCACATTTTTATCACTTTTAACTAGTAAAATATTTCTGGAGCCATGATTCAACTGGTTGATAATCAAATTAAATACTGAAAAACAAAATCATTTGAAGTATTAAATTAAGTAATTTATCTAATTTGGTGTTTAAACATATTAAACCTACCAGAGCTACTTTGATGCCCTTGTTTTGACTGAAACATCAGATAAATTTTTACCTTTTGATGCACTAATGTGGTCCATCTAGTAATTCCTTCACTACCTTTTGGTTTAAAACACTTCTACCTCTATCAGCAGACCTCGAGTTAATATGTTATGTTTGATAACCTATAAAAAAAAAACACGAAAAAATTTGAATCTTTAAAAAGCTAAATCAGCAGGTCAGAGCTTCAAGGAACTGCTCACCTGGATCAAGCAGAAGAAAACTTACTGGTCGATCTAAAAAAAAATCCTAAAATCAGTATACCAAAAAAAAAAAAAAAAAAAAAAAAAATCAGTCAATATTAATAAACCTGTTTTATCCTTAGTTTTGACAAGCAACTAACAGAATAAACATGAGGATGCTGCTTGCTTAAATTATGTGTTTATTTATTCCACTTGTTAAAGCCATCTGTATGCAGAGGAGATTAAAAAGAAATGTTGCATTTAAAGTAAAGATGTGGGCTTGTTATACAGAAATAATGTAAATAAGTTCTTTGAGGTTAAGAGTCACATTACATGCTGATCAAATATATTTAGTTTGCAACATTTTTGTTTAATTGGTTGAAAATAATGATTGCTTCTATCATCTCTCATATGCTCTTATCCACGTATCTCTGTAGGGGAAGAAACAAACTCTTAATAGTTCCAACCACATTGGAGAGCTGCTAATCAACACTTCTCATTATGTCTGGTCGTCTTCCCCTCTGAACCTTCTCCTCCTTCCATCTTTTCCAATTATTTGTTCAACCAGCATCTTTTTTCCCCCATCCGTTCCTCCCTTGAATCAATGCAACTTTTGCAGCCCCTCTTTGCTCGCGTTTCTTCTTGTCCTTCTTCCCTCTCACTTCTCCACATTTATCCTGCTCTTCCCGCTGCCTCTCATCTCCTGAACACGCCACGGTGGTCGCCGCTCAGGCAATTAAACAGTGGGAGTTTTTAGTGTGGCAGATGTGCAGGACGGATGAGGGAGGACAAGCGGCACAGCACACAGGGAGAACTGCGCTTCGTCTAGAAGCTGGGAGCTGAGCCGACAAGGAACACATGCCCGTCTAAAGTCTGAACTGAAATATTTCTGCTCATTTAAAATATTCAAACCAGCAGAAATCTTAAATGAAAGGTGCCCTCCAAGCAAGAGATCAAGCAAATGTTCATATGATTTGCAGTTTTAGTCATGTAAAATTAATTTAACCTGCTAATTTAGAACATATCTGCACTAATGGTGTCAGGAGAGAAATCATTGTTTTCTGCATGATCCGAAATGTCTTAATTATCTCAGTGTCATGAGTCAAGCAGCCATGACCAGTGGTCCTCTAGTTGATTACTGCCTGCACCTCCAGTTGCTCTTGCTGCTGCTGTGCTCATTAACTTAGGGCCCCAACAATAAAGAAATAGCGGCAAAATCCTTACGCTAAACCCTCAGGGGGCCCAACAATAATTACACAACAATGTAATTTGCAAGAGATACATGGTAATTACAGCCGGGTGGCTTGTAGCGCAGCATCGCCTGTACGTTAGATGCTGAAAAAATGTGCTTTAGAGCTTTAAATCAATGGAAACATCAAAAGAGTGGAGTAAATGGTTAAGCTTTGGCAAAGGCCTCATCAGGGTGTATATTATTTTGACATAAAATTTTATGTTTGTCTGATTATTCTCTGTTTTAACTAAAAAGTCCCAAAGAATATAAGAAAAACAATATTTGACCTTTAGTGCTGAATGAGCTGCTGTTTTAACAGATCCCCGCCAGCTTTATGTCTCCACTGTGGATGTATTGATTGATCCCGATTGGGTCAGCGGGAGATGGATGATCAGCCCACTCCTGCCAACACCCATGTTTGACCTTACCCTGGGGAAAACTCATCCCCAACATCTAAAAGAACAGATTAAAGTGACACTCCACCTTTACAGAGCACATTAACCTACATATTAAAACACCTTTATCAAACAGCTACCTGTATTGTTTGGCGGTTGTAGACTTTGACTACGTGGAAGTTAAAACTGTAAATTCCTTTCCGTGGTGCGATGAAATTACTTCGTTCCTCATCGAAATTCCTCCCAACATTTACTAAAACCTGGAAAAGAACAAAAAAAAATATATGCAATTATTTTAATTGTACTTTTTTTAGAAAAAAAATATTTTGTGAGATTACAATTACATTTTTATAGGAAAATACAAGAAACTTTTGTTATTTAAAGAAATGATATTGGATCTGAAAATTGAAATAAACTCTGGTGCTTTTCTTTCAAAATGTATTTATTAAGGGTTTTCTGTCATGCTATTGTTAATTTTTCTTTACGGATTTAGTTTTTTTCAAATAACCTTCCCTTTAAAATGTTAATTCTTTCATATTTTACTGTCATGATTATTTCAAAACAGTCTGCTGGGCCTTTCTGCAATACAGCATCAGTATTTCCTAATTCTTTTTAGAAATTTAAGGGCAAATTCAAGCAGAAGAAATAATGTGAAGCTTTCATTTTCGCAACTGGGTGTCTGCTTTAGTGATTAAGATAACAGAGTGGGTATTTTAAGGGAAAATGCAGCAGTTTTTTATGTAACAATCAATAGCCCTAGGAATTTATAAATCAGTGTGTTAATTTAAATAAGAACACCAAAAATTGTCCTGCTGTAAAAGTTGTAAAAAAAAAAAGTTTTCCAACTGCAACAAAAACCAGATGAACAGGGAATAAAGACTGGTTTCTTTAAACAGTTAAACACATGTAATCTGAGCAAAATTTTAAGCTTTTTAATTTTCTTTATTTAATATTTCCTTTTTTTCTTATTGCATTAACGTCTTGTCCTTATTTCTATAGTGTTAAGCATTTCTGTTTGGAGCTTTGATAGAAAATAGAAATATGAAAGCTTTGCGGATCGATGTGTGAAATGATTATGATTATAACAACCATTAAAAAAATAATAGTGAGAGTTTTTTTGCAGTTATTTAAGAAAGCAAAACATTGTAATCTCTCTTTAATCTGCGCAATTCACCCGACATTGTAAAAGAAAACGACCCAGCACCAAGTTACTCTCTGGACTTTCAGAACCCAACAGATAAAGAGGATTTCCACTCACCCGGTCAAAGTAGATGACCATGGTCCGGTTGCTCATCTCAGAGGGTTCATGGTTGGTGTTCCGGACAGCAGAGAAAGCCACCTTCGCGCTGCCGGAGCGCACCGAGATGCCGAGCGCGGTGCCCGTCGGGTCTGAAGTCGGGTTGGAGTCGCACACCACTAAACATTTCCCCTCCAGCACGATGGGCTCGGTCTCATTTTGAGCTCTAACCGGGCCAGCAGCGAGCCAGGCGGCACTAAGCAGGCACAGCGCCAACATGCCGAACCACAAACACAACCAAATAGTTCCACTTTAATGAAAAAAAAACAAAAAACAGAAGTTTAAACTTGCAGGAGCCGCTCCTTTCTTCTTAGAGTAAAAGTAAGCTCCAACCCGGACACATTCGCTCCGGTCCAGTCCCGGTCACACCTGTTCTCTTCCTCCTGTCTCACCTGTCAGCGGCTCCTGTTCCAGAACGCACAGAGGGAGAGTCGCGCGCCGAGCGGACGGACAGCAGCACTCATAGCAGCGCGCGAGGGGGGGAAGCTCCGTCTGTTCGCCGGCGCGCGCCTCAATTATTGATAAGCAGGATGTGGAAGTCCGCAACACAAAAGGCTCGAGGGGAGACCCCTCCTTCCGCACGGAAACCGCCACTCACCGCAGCTTTAGCGCGTGGCGTCTGCGAGATTTTCCAATCACCAGGTGCTGACCGCCCCTTTCACTGCCCTTCACACCCCCAATAACTCTATCTATCTATCTATCTATCTATCTATCTATCTATCTATCTATCTATCTATCTATCTATCTATCTATCTATCTATCTATCTATCTA